GCTGAAATCCGGAGCACCAATGGGGTCACTGTGTGTCCACTGGCCTGCAGCTTCCTGCAGGTGACACGAGGGCGGGAGGAGGGAGCTGGGGTGCAGCAGCATGGGAGTGGGAGGAGGGAAGGTGCAGACAGTCCCCTGCCAGCACCTGTTCCCCCACAAGCTTTGAGGAAATACTCATCTCTGGGACCGAGAAGTGGCCTCCCTGAGACTTTCCAGAAGTGGCAGGCATTTGGATTTGCCTGTGGGAAGATTTTGTGGAAAATGAAAGCAGGGCCAGTGTCTATGGCACAATTTCCTCAACGCAGCGCCCAAGGCCAGGAAGGTTGGAGACAGGATTGGCAGGGAGATGTCCACTGTGGGGGGAGGAAAGAAGGAGAGGGGGACTGAAGCAGGGGCAGGCGGGGATGCAGTGACAGGCCGTGGGGGAGGCTCGGAGGCTGTGGAACTTGCTCCAGGCCACACAGCCGGTGAGCGGTGGGAACCAGCTTCAGACAAGCAATGCCGCCCTGGTGGGGCCCATGCCAGGCCCTGGCAGGGAAGATGGCACGCTGGGCCTGGGTGATGTGAGGAGTGCCTGTACCAACAGGACTGCTCACAGCTGCCCGGAGGAGAAGGGACATCACGGCGCCTTGGCGTTGGTAAGGCAGCTGTCCTCGCCATCTCGGGCCCGGAGTGAGGGGACAGCCATGGGGACCTGGTCACAGCGAGGCCTCCAGCCTTGCGGCCTCAGCCAGGAGGGAGCCTGGGCACACATTCTTACACCTCAGCTCCCCACCCTCATCCCCTACCCCGCCATTTCCCAGGGGCAAAGGAACCTCTGGTCCAGAGCAGGGTGCCATGTGGAGGAGGGATTTGGAATCAGCCCAGGCCCTTGACTCCTCGGGGAACAAGTCACAAACCAATGTAGGCATCGAACTGCTGGCATCTGGAGGAACATCGATGGGCCATCCCCTAAACTCGCAGAGGGCTCCTCATGCATGTCGGTGTGCACTGCGGTGACCTGCTACCCATGCACAAGTTGGGGTGCTGGGAATGCGCCTGAGGCTGGCGGTCAGACGACCAGAGCCCTGGGTTCTGGGACGGGCGGGGGTGGGGAGGCGCCGCAGAGGCCCCAGCAGAGGGACAAGTCTCCCCCGCGTGTCGTGTCGCAGTGAACTGCCCGCTGCTTCAGCCCGTGGCCGCTCCAACGCCCGCAGCTCTCGGGGCGCCCCCTTGCGGGCGGGCGCGGAGCCGCGGCCCCAGGCGCAGCCAGCCAGCCGCCGCGAACCCGCAGGGGCCGGCCGCCCGCTGGCTGAAGGCGTTGGGGTGGGGGAGGTTGTGCGGTTCCGGTGGCAGCCCAGGAATGAGGCCATTGCAGGGAGCAGTGGGGGACACGGACCAGGGGCGCTGGGGTCCCCCAGGGGGAGCGGGCGGGGTACGCGTGCAGCTGCGGGGGTGCGCCTCGCTCCGGAGCCCTGAATCCGAAACTCCAGGCGTTAGACATCGCGGGGCTCTTTGGCCCAAGCCTCCTATTTTTCACGTGTGTGTGTGTGTGTGTGTGTGTGTGTGTGTGTGTGTGTGTGTGTGTGGAGGGGGGCGCTTTAGGGTCCGAGAGTGGCGCCGGGGGAAGCGTGGAGGCGACGCCCCGGGGGCAGCCCTGGCCGTCCTCTGGGGCTGCCTGCGGGAGCCGGACCCTCCCAGCCCAGGTGCGCAACCCCATCAGCGAACCCCAAACCATCTAACCTAGCGCAACTCTGAGCCTTGTAGGCGTACTGGGGCTGAGTTCCAGATTCCCGCGTGCACACGCGCTCACTGAGCTGAGTGGGAGGACCGCTCGGGGCGTGGGCAGCGGCGCTCTCCTGCCGGCCCCGCGGAGAACCCTGTGCCTGTGCCGCGGGGCAGAGGGTCCGGCCTGAGACGCAAACTGTCCACCTTCAGCCTCGCCACGGCTCCGCCCAGGGTCGGTGCCCGGTTCTGTATCTACGGATGGGACTGCTGGGTTTTGCTAAGGGCAAAGCCCGCAGCGTCGGCCTCGCGCGGGGATGTGGAGGCTCCACCTGGGTTTGGAAAGCTCAGCGGGTGGCACAGCACAGGGGACTGGTGGGCCAAAGTAGCGACTAGCCGCCCAGGTCCTGCTCCGCCGCCGCGTCACACCCCACCGGGAGCCGTTCCGACCCGGAGGCCGCCAACCCGGGTCCTCAGAGGCCCCTGGCGCCCCAGCCCCGCGCGCTCCCGGGCGGTTTCCGACGCCCACGTCTCCGGTTCCATTCCTTCCCTCCCCTCACCGGGAGAGAAGGATCCTAAACAGATCCGGTGGCTCCACTTGTAACTGCTTACACCCTCCCCCCTTTACACTAGACTTTGCTAACCCTACAGACAGAGACCGTTTTTTTATTAGGATCATCAAATATTTTTTAAAACCATGATTCACACCCATCCGGGCCTGAAGTTAGACACATGGACGCTACGGTTCTCCTGAACACAACACAGATCAGAAACCACTACCGCCCTCCTCCCCAAATCCACAAAAGTCAGCAACTCGGGCCGCCTAAAGAGGGAAGACAATAACGTCACTCCCCAGAAATAACGTGATTTGTAGATACACTCTTTGGAGACACTAACGTTCCCCTCTCATATTTCCAAAAGAAAGGGTCAGGCTAATGCTCAGACACACACTCTCATCATCATCATCATCACCACCACACACACACACACACACACACACACACACACACACACACGCGGGGGGGGGTAAATTAGTTTTTTTAAAGAATAAACACAACATCCCAGCGACAGGAGAAAAAGAAAAAGAAAAGCTGGAAAAATTTCCCCTGCGAATGTAAAAGGGGTGGGGGTGGGGTAGGGAGTCCTTTATCGGAATGATTTCTCCCTCCAGTTTTGTCGGAAAGTATCTGGGGCTCAAAGTTGCTGCAAAAAGGTGGCGGGAGCAGAGCCCGGCGCGGTCCCCAGTGTTCGCGGAACCTCCCGGGTCACGGCCTCCGCTTTCGGGCACGTTTGCGAACCTGAGGGACCCAGGGCCTGCGTCCCGTCCCAGCTTTCTCTGTGCTCCAGCGGAGCAGGACCTCGGGGGGCTTAGGGCACTTAGGGGTCTTAGAGACATTCACTAAAAAGAAGAGGCCAGAGTGTCGGGGCTGGCGGTCGAGGCAGAGGGCAGGGCTCAGGTTGGTTCCGCTGCGTCCGCAGCCGGCCGCGAATTGCAACCGGGCAGCGGCTCCGGGCGCGCACCTCAAGGGCGCACTCCCGCCCGTCCGGCTGCCGCGGGTGGGGGTCGGAAGGAACGCTCCGTCCCGGAACAGCCCGCCGCCCGCCGCCCCGCTGGACCAGGTGACAGGCATTAGACCTTCTGAACCGCAAGGGATGGACCGGAGCTTCCGGAGCCTCCGCGTTCCGCGCGCCCGGTGAGGGGGTAGCATCCCTGCCCGAGCTTACGGCTTCCCGCCGCGGGCTCAGCGCCCCCGCCCGCCCCCGCCCCGGGGTACTTTTCCTGAAGAGTCCCGGAAAGCGGCTTCCAGTGGACTGACTCTAAATAAATGCAACTCAGGGGTCGGTCTTTAAAGTTTGGCATAAATTGGTGAGAAAACAGCACCCAATAATTAGTGTAACAGGCCAGCAAACCAAACTGTATCCCAAATGAAGGTGAACGGGCTTTATTATTAATCAGGGAAAAGGGAGGATTGAACCTTTTCTCCCAACTTAATGTCCCCAACAAACTCATAACTCTTTACAGGTGACTTTCACACTCACTTTCCCACCAGACTTTATCTCCCTATTAATATCTCTTCCCCCTCAACAACCCCCCCCCCCATTTACCCTCATCTTTCTCAGAAGTTTGGGCAATTGAGGTAGATTTTTTCTGAGGGCAGTTTGTACCCATCGCAGCTAACGTGGCCAACCTAGAGAGATCAACTCCTAGCAAAGAATAAGAAAGCCATTAAAAGTAAAAACCTGATAGCAATTTCCAAATATGCTTTCTACTTGAACTTCATAAACCTCCTACCCTCCCCCCCGCACCACCAACCTATGGATGGTTTTGGGTCTGCACTCACGTCCCGGTCCTGCAAGTTCCATCTGACTATCGCCTCTCCAATCCCCTTCCTACTGCGCAACACACACACACACACACACACACACACACACACACACACACACACACGTCGGAAGCCCGCCCCACGAAACAACTGGATGGGACTTGCATCCCAACCTCTGGGCTAGGACAGCGAGTGCGGAAATGCGCCAGGTGCCCAAGTGCACCCACCACTCGGCGGGGCCTGTCCCCTTTCAGCGCCGGCTTATGCCAGCATCCTCCTTCCCTCCGCTCCTGTCACCCGTCCCTGGCTCCGCCCTCCCGACTCTGCAGCCAATAGAAACCCCCTGCCACTTCCCTCCGCCCCAAACTCTTTCCACACCCCCGCTTCCCGGGAGCTGGTTGGCTGCTGGAGCCTCTGCCAAGCCGCTGTATTTGCATGGCGGCGCTGGCTTCTGGTAGGCGGAGCGGCCTGTCACTCCCGCCAGCCGGGCCCGCCCACCCACCTCGGTCTCGACTCTTCCTGCGCAGTTCTCCGCAGCCTCCCTCTGCGAGGAAGTGCCGGGCTGCTCTCAGCAGCGGTTCGCGGGGCGGCGGGGAGGGAGGCAGCCCCGGGCCGCGGCCGTACGCACCGTCCGAGCGGCCAGGACGCGGGAGCGCGGCGCCCTCCTGCCCCGGAGCGGGCCGTCGCGCCGTGAGAGCGGTCCCCAGCCCGGCAGCTGCCCGCCACCTCGACTTTCGATCCAGTTGCGGCTCCTCCCGGGCAACATGTCAAAAGCCGCGGCCGCTACAGCTGCTGCCGCCACCTGGGGAAGCGCAGCGGGAGCAGCGGCGGCGGTGGCCCGGGGCGCACGGGGGCAATAAAGCCCCCCCACCGGGCGTCCGGAGGGCCGAGGACCCCTCTCCGCGCTCGCGGCTCCGGCGGGACCGGTGCCATGTGCTGAGCCATGCCCCTCGCCGCGCCCGCGGGCCGCGCATGGGGCAGCGCCTGAGCGGCAGCCGGCCCTGCCTCCATGCCCCCAGCTGGCTCCTGCCCCAGTCGCAGGCGCCCCCGCCGCCGGTGAGGAGGAGGCTCGCGCTGCTCTTCGCCATGCTGTGCGTCTGGCTCTACATGTTCCTGTACTCGTGCGCCGGCTCCTGCGCCGCCGCGCCGGGGCTGCTGCTGCTGGGCTCGGGGTCCCGCGCCGTCCACGACCCGCCCGCCCCGGCCCCGGGCCCCGACCACCGGGCTCTCCCGAAGCTGCTCTTCCAAACCGTCCCGACCACCCCGCTGGCGGCGGCCCCGGAGAGGGCCGAGGGCGCCACGAGCCCAGAGGAGCAGAGCCCCGAGGCGCCGGACTCCCCCAGCCCCATCTCCAGCTTCCTGAGCGGGTCCGGGAGCAAGCAGCTGCCGCAAGCCATCATCATCGGCGTGAAGAAGGGCGGCACGCGGGCGCTGCTGGAGTTCCTGCGCGTGCACCCCGACGTGCGCGCCGTGGGCGCCGAGCCCCACTTCTTCGACCGCAGCTACGACAAGGGCCTCGCCTGGTACCGGTGAGTTTCCCCGGCAGGGCCGGGGCCAGAGGCGCCCGCTGCTGCCCAGAACGGGGGAGGCGGAGGGAGACGTGGCTTGGGCTGGGGAAGTGACAGGGGTACAGTCTCGAACCCCCGAACTCCCGGGGGCGGAGAGGGACAGAGAACGAATGCATGGTGCCGGCCCGCCGCGGAGAGAACCTCACCCCTACTCGGCACCGAGTGTTTCGGGAGACGGGGGTCGGGGGAGGGGAGGGTACTTTCCACAACCCAGAGAAACTTCTCGAGCAGCTCCGGCAGCTCCGTGGCCCATGGCTTTTGACATGATCAGGAGAGCTCTCCGCAGAAAAGGGCGCTCCGGTAGGCATGCAGCCCTCTAACGGCGGCCGCGCCCCGAAGGAGTCTGTGCCGTGTAGCCGGGGTTTGACTCTGGAGCTCTGACCAACTTCTAAGGGCTCCGGCTCCGCTTCTGGGGGTGTGGATGGGAGGGACGGCGCCCCGCTCGGGCCGCCGGGAGGCTGGTTACCGTCCTCCTCCCTGCGGGAACCCGCACCCGAAGAGGGTCAGACTGGCTTCTCTGGAGGGCGCGCTGGGCGGGCGGCCCGCGCCTCCACCTGGTGGCCGGGCGAGCAGCGGGCGCTGCGGGCGGACAGTGGGCGGCGGATGGTGGATGGTGGAGTGGAGAGTGGAGGGTAGAGGGTGGAGGGTGGACGGTGAACGGTGGACAGCGGGTGGTGGAGGGTGGAACGGTGGACGGTGGCTGGATGGCGGATGGTGGAGCGGTGCTGGTCCCTGTCGGGCAAAGGCGCGCATTGCAGGCCGGAGCTATCGCCGCGCTTCTGGCGAGGCATCCAGGCGACCCCGGCACGGCCGCCGGTTTCCGCCTTCCCTCCCGGCTGGGATGCAGGTCTCCACCGGCCCTTTACACGTCGGGGTGCGAAGAATATTGGGGGCCCTTGGATAAGAAATGTGGGTTTCCGAAAACTCGGTTCTTGAGTCGGTTGTGGGTCCGGTTCCAAAGGGACGGATGGGTAACCAGGACCTCCGCCAACGCCTCCCGCCGCTGCCTGTTTTGGGGTGAGCGGTTCCTGTTTTTGGGATGAGCGATTGGGTCGATCCAGCTTCCGGTGGGACAGCCGAGGGTCCGGACTCCCACCTTCCCTCGGAAACTTCGTCGACAGCCCTCCTCTCCCCACCTCTCCCCCAACCCGTCCCGGGCAGGACTCTACCTTCTCCCCGGCAGCCCTCCAGGAGGCTCGGGATTCAGAAAACCAACCCGGAGAGGCAACCGGACTTCCTTCCCGGCCCCCAGCCTCCTTTGGGCCCCTGGAAAGGACGGGAGATAAAAGGGGTCTGACTCAGGGGATTAAAGCCGCTATTCCCAGCCCCCCCCCCCCTTTTTGTCCTTGATGTGTTCATTGTCCGCAGTTGTCCCAGTTCTGTCCCGAGGGTTAGCCAGCCCTGGCAGTCCCCCTTCCCACCGTCCAGGTCCCGACACCGGCTGCTCCGAAGGACGCCCAGGCTCCTGTCTGGCTCTGGCCGGCCAATAAGTCGGGCCGGGCCCGGTGCTTCCCTGGGGTGTGTGTGTGTGTGTGTGTGCCAGTTTTCCGCGGAGCCCAGAGGCGGGTGCGCGGGGCGGGCAGGTGCCGGCTGGCACGTGGGGCCGCTCGGGCTGTTCGCTATTGTCATCGATCCTATTGTTCTTCCACCGCCGCCCCGCTCCCGGTGCGGACCTGCCGGGCGGCAGGGGACACCGCTGGAGGCCGGGGGTCCGGGGTGCTGAGATCAGACGCCCGGCCGGGCCGGGCCGGGCCGGGAGGACTGGCAGGAACTCGCCGGATCGCCCACGTCACCGGCTTTGAAGCACCTGGCAGCCGGTGGAAATCCCCGCCGGAGGATCCACGCGGTCTCCTGGGCTCCTGCCCTCCACCTGCTCCGCTCCTTTGATTGATCCAAACCGCGGAGTCAATTGATCCAAGTCGCTCCGGAAACCCGGGCGCAGCCGGAGCGGGACGGTGCCCCCCGGCCGCGCAGTGAGTGAGGCCGCCGAGCGCGGGGGCCGCGAGGGCTGGGGCCGGGGCCCCCGAGGCGGGGGGTTCCTCAGCGCCCCCCGTCCCGCCCCCCCTACATCTACCTAATCGGAGGAGCCAGGCTGTGCGGTGCAGGAGCACCGTGGCCCGAGGCTGCGCCCCCGGGACCGCGCGGCGGAGGAGCACCCGGGGAGCGCGCAGGGCCCCTCTGGCTCCGCGCTCCTGGCGGCGCCAGTACACGCTGGCCGGCCGCTGGGCTAGCGGATATCTTTAAGGAAAAAGAAAGAAAAAAAGAACTATTTTAAATGCTTTAATGGACATATTTTAGCTAATGAAGAATTTTCGGGATGTCTGGGCAAATGTGTAGACTCACAGTTCTTTTGGAAGCGGCCGTTTTAGTTTTCTGTGACTGCCCCGGAGGGGACGTCTGTCCCCGATGCTGGTGGTGAGACCAAGTGCTGGGGAACCCTGCGCCCTCCCAGCGGGGCAGGCGATGCTCACCGAGGTGTGTGTCCTGTGTCTGCCCGCGGTGCGTGCAGGCGGGCGGCAGAACGGAGAGGAGCACAAATAATAATTAACCGGAGAGAGTTGCAGTCGGACACGTGGTTCAAAGGAGTCCTCGCAACCAGAAAATAGGAGAGAGAGGAAACATTTTAAAAGTAGGTAGGCATTTTGAAGGCATGATAGATAAAAACTATGGGCCTGGATGGTTGAACCGGGCTATGGGCATTATCATTCGCTGGAGAAGCAGATCTCAGCTCTGTCTGTGCCAAGACCTCAATGGGTTTAATGGATTGGTACCCAGTTCTTCTGGTGGCCTAACCGGCCGCCTGGGCCCGGGCAGATTTGCAGTGAAGTCTTCGCAATTGACTGCAGTTCCTTCCCTAGGCCAGAACTGTTGTGGGATTGAAGGCTGTGGGATGGAGGCGACCATGGTCACAGCGATGTGGAGTTGACCTCGCTGCCACCAGCCAGGGAGCAGCAGCTTTCAGCCACTGCCCTACCTGCTCAAAAGTCAAACACGCCCTTCCTGAGTATATGTCTTAGTCTGGAATAAGACTCTTGTGGGTTTGCTTTTCCAGCTTATTCATCAGCTCTCTTCCTCCACCAGGCCTCTCAAACTGGGCATGTGCCTGTGAGCACCGCATGGGGTGACACACCAGGCCTCCAGCTCCTGTGGCAGGCTGTGTGTGGTTGAGAGTTCTGGGCTGTGAGCCTCCCAGATGACAGGGTGGAGAAAGCACACACCTGTACATCTAGGCTCTGAATATTGACTTTGTCTATTTTTGATTTGTTAATAACAGCAGGTTGGGAATTAAGTTAGCCAAATAGTGTGATTATTAATTTTTACCTAGAAACATGCCATAAACTTTCCAGAGCAGAAAGCCATTTATTTCCCCATCTTGACTCTTCTTTTCATTTTGATTGCACAAAATAACCTGACACTAATAATATGGCCACATTAAAAAAATGTGTGTAGTGTGTGTGTTTATAATGCTGGTAGGTAACATTCCTGAATGTGTCCCAATGTGCCCGATACTGTTCCAAATTTTACAGAATTAGCAAATGTATTCCTTAGTACAATCCTATGAGGTAGGTGCTTTCAGAGATGAAAAAACACAGGCACAGAGAAGTTAAGCAACTTTCTCAAGTTGTCCCAGCTAGTTACTAACCTGGGCAGTCCTGCTCCAGATCACTCTGCCATGTCACTTTCGCTTAAATGACCAAAAACATGATGGCGGTGATATATGATACTTTCAAAACTGGGTTTACTTTAAAGGAGCATGAGTTTTCCAATGTACTCTGCGATTTCAGTGTGCATTGCTCACTTTGTCAGTCACTTAAAAAAAATATCAGCTTCAGAACTGGCTCAAAGTGGGTTTATGACTAGAATGAGGATAATTACATCACCATGGCAGTCTCTTTTCTCTGCCAGCACTGGACAGTTAGAGTCAAAGGAGTCATTAAAATGACAAAAATATCCCTCAAGTGTAAAGGCTGAGAAAACAACGCAGGTCCCTGCGGAGAATAGATTTATTCTCTTGCATTTGCCCCCTTGTAAGACTGGGAGGTGTGGAGGACATGGGGTTAAGAGAAATGCTCTAAAACTTCTGGGAGTGAATTTATTCATTTAAAAGAAATACAGCGCCACGAGTCAAGACAAAACTTATATTTAACTGGAAGACAATTGTAGCCAAACTTTGAGTAGAATTCTGAGACTTAGATTTTGAAACCCAGTAACTCCAGAAAATCTCCCTCCTGAAAGCTAGTGGATGAAAGGAGCAAGTTTTCCTACATTTTAAATCTAACAACGAATGCTGAGAAATCTCATTTCTCCCCTATTTGCCTAGTCTGTTTCTAACAACGTGGTGGCAAAGACTGTTTTCCTCTTCATGAAGGGATATTTGAGATAAGATCTGATTGGGGATAATCCTTTTTGAAGTAATTGTACTTTCAGTCCTAGCGCTTAAACCAAGTATGTAACTCACTTCAGGCTCCTGGGTGAAGATCAGAATTCTACATTTATATGCAACAATTTGAAATATGAACCATCATGTTACAAAGCTGTCAAGATTTATTAGCAAGACGGTGTAGCATGTGTTGAACTCTGTTTTTAATTAGGCACCTAAATTAGACCATAAAATGGTTGATTAATCTTTTACAAGTTGAGGGGAAAATATAACATAAATTAACCTAATCATAATTGTTTTCCCAGATGCTCTCAGTTAATAAAATAGTCAGTATTTAATAGCAACCTATTTGTTTTAAATAAATAAAATGCTGAAATGTGTGAATTTAAATTACACGTATTATTTTTCCAAATGATATGTTACTATTGAACAGGTCTCAAAAATTAGGTTATGCCCATGTCTTAAAAACTATTTATTAAAAGAGAGTGCTACAATTTGACTAAGCTGACAAGGGTCCATTTGCCTTTTTAATGGAGCCTGATTATTGAAAATTTACAATTTAATATAGACTAATATTTAT